TTACTTATCAAAATGAATGAATTCTAAAACAAAAAATCCCTTAAAATCATCATAAATCTATAGCGAATTCAAACAAAATTCCTGATTTTTTTTAAACCATAAAACCAGTTATAAAAACGTTTTAGAAATAAATATTCACATAAGCTCTTCCGAAAAACAACACCAAATTTAAACCTCGGTTTTACTTTTAATAATACATTCATGAAGATTCACAAATCCGATTTTGGTTTTTATGTCACTTGAGAAAATCAAAAAATATATATATCTTTTAAAGCAATCAGTTTAGACATAATGGTGCTGGGTTTTTTTTATGTACATGTATGTTCTATGTATTTTGTCTTTTCCTATTGTGTCCTGCTTTCCAAAGTTGTGTTATGGGTAAGACTTTGATTTATAATTTTAAAAAATACAAATATTCCATTGCATATATAGGGTTTTTACCTGTTACCAATTTTCAAACAATTAATTACATTACATTTGTTATTTCAACCAAAACATTAATTAAAAGACCACATCTTTCTTTCCTCATCACAGTTGTACAACATTAAATAGAAATGGGAAATGCTGTTCGAAAACTAGCAGGGACTATATTTTTGGCGGAATGGTGGCGTATGAAACTATCTTCTTTTCTGCCTCTAAAAATTATCATAGAACAGCGAATTTAGTTATATTTTTTACACAATTAGAGACAATCAAAGTATATCAAAAAAATATAATATGAATTTCAAAAATAATCTACAATTATGTTAGCTTTTAAAAGCTTCCAATATCAGTACAGATATGAGCCAAAAATCCATAGAAAGTGTTTTTTCTCTCTTGCTAAATATGATTTTTTTACCATATGTGAAAATTAGAAAAATTTAAATATAGGGAGCATGAAAAAAAAATTGAATATCGTAACAATTTAAGAAAAATGGAGGAGATTCGGATTAGCCAAAATCCATTTTTGTTAAACTGCTAATGTCAATTGGGTCATATCATCTTGTAGACCCTTTATGGTAATATCTTTTTATGCAAAAAGAAAAACATAAAATCTCTTAAAATAGAAAACCCTATCTCATGATTGGATGCATTTAATTTAATTCTTAATGACAAGGGAAAATGTAATGACCTTGACCTGACCTTGACTCTAATATAAAACTGTCAAAACTAATCTAACTGATACCATCACTCAGCAATATTTTCTTCTTCATTCTGTGAAAATTTCATTAATTTTTAAATAAAAGAAATACAGTTTTGTGTGAGAGGAATCCTACCTTAAATACATTACATGTATGTTCACATCCACATATTGTTGGTATTGGAATAATTTTTAGGCAATGAATTAAAAATTTTTTTGATATGCATGTTTTGATCATGAACGGGGCATTTTTTTTCTGAAAAAGGGGGTTTGGGATATCCATTAATTCTGTCAGATAGTATGGTGAAAATAGCATTCCTAACAACAACACTAAATTGTTTTCATAATCACTTCATCTAAGTAGTAAGAATTATTGTAAGTGTAAAAATATTTGTAGATTTAATCATTTATTCCTCTTGATTTTAAAGTGGAAAGTGCTGTCTCGATTTGTATGGAATAAAACAATTCATCAATGTGTGGTTGTGTATTTTTTATTCTCTTATTTTTGACAATTTATTTCTTTCATTAAAAGTTCAAATTCTTGTTATAAATAGGAATGTTCTATTTATTTATTTTGAAGAATGTAAGCCTGGATATTATGGAACAGACTGTATTATTCCTTGTCCATCGTCTACATACGGTTTTCAATGTCAGTTGACCTGTAACTGTACAGAAAATAAGTGTCATCATGTACACGGATGTATGGAAGATCCACTAGTGCACTAAGTAAGAAGAATCATACGAACACAAAAATTATCTAAAAATCAGTGCTTAGATAATTGCAAACAGACTGCGAACCATACTCAGTATTAACTGTTTTACGTATATTTCATTACTTTTCCTTATTAACTACTAAATAAAAATCGAGAAAACCATCAGTGACTATCTATATTCGTATTGAAAATCCATCGATCCGTATATGGATAAGTTATAATTACATGATTCATTTGTTTACTTGATACGAAATGTTAAAAGTGTGCTATGATAGCAAAACATCCAGATCACATCAACTTTATACTTTGTTTATAAATATTGGTATTTTTTGCTAGATGAAAAGGAATTTAATTTCCGAAGAAATTTAATATATTTAGGCTTAGGGGGTACACAGTTGAGTTGTTCTTCTCATGCCAGGTATTGTAAAATTTGTTTAAAATTTATTTTGAGAAATTTTGAATTAAATGTTTTCAGATTATCCTTCCTGTCTAATGAGCAAATATTCTTTTTTGAATTTAGCAAAATATAATGTAAGAATCAGTTATTTTGAGCTCGTAAATTTACCTAATTTAACACCGTGTCAATTCTTGTTTCAACTTCCAAAAAATTGCAGTTGATTTGGTGCTCGTAAAAGAGACATCCAGTATTTTTTTTTTACTTTTTCATCATCTGTTATTTATTATCTTGCATACTTCTAGCTATTTTTTTTGGTTTCTTCTTCGCCTTGACATTTCTCTGTTTTCATCATTGCACATCGTATTTGATCTTTTTTTTAATTATATATTCGATAATGATAGGTGAATGGTATTTTTCACTCAACCTATTAGTATAACCTATTAGTATTTTTAAGTGTATCACTTCACTATTTCACATGCTTTGATTTTTAAATAAACTGTATTTTTACGAAAGAATAACTGATAATATAAATTTTAAGATAAGAAGCATGTTTCTTCAGCGAAAAATACCACGCCATCGAACAGTTCGTAAAAAAAAAATGGTCATCGACTTTCACTTCTGTATTTCCAGATTCCGTTTTGAAATTGATTGAGAGGTACAGTAAAACAGTTATAATGAAGTCACAGGGACCTATGAAATTACTTTGCTATATCCGTAAAAGGAATTCGTTAAATTTATATAGCTGAGGATCCAAGATAACGTCGTTTTATCCGTGAATTCGCAATATCCGTGTTTGTACTAAATGAGTTGTGCTGTGTATCCCAAATATGTTTTCTTTTTCGAATATATTACGAGGGTAGTTTATATAGCGAAATACGTAAGCCATTTAACTATTTTAAAAGATTTTATTAATTTTTCAAATTAGAGTCGCCTCTTGGACCGCAGAGACCACATGCAACATTCACAGGAATACCAATCAGTGTGTAATAGAATAGACAATCTTGCACAAACAATTAGTGAAATGAACAGAAAACTTTAAAAGTCGGACTTGATTGAGGAAAAGCGCAGTTGATTTGACAGCGATCTTCGCGAGGTGAAAAAGTCGGTTTTTGAAATTAAGATAAATGAGGTAAAAAAAAATCCATGGACTTTATCAACAGGTCATATGAGGATAACAAAAAACATTTAGAAAACTTGTCAAAGTCTTCTGTTATGGCTTTATAATTAGAATACGCATCAAAATCTAAAGAAGATTCTTCGAGGAATCATGAGGATATCCAGCTATGTAAGTCAGAAATTATTTATCTACATACCGAAATGAAGAGACACTCGAGCATGATTGAAAACATGTCTAGAAATATGGAACACATAAGGAGAAAAAAGGTTCAAATGCAAGATAAAATCATCGACCAACAATGCAGGTCCATGAAAATGAATTTGGTATTTAAAGGCTTTGGAGGAGAAACAGGTAATGAGGACATACAGTATAAGGTGCGCCAGTTTCTTTGTAATGTACGTGACATCAAGTGTAATTTGGGAACGTACACAGGTTCGGTAGGTATGTGAGGGGCGAGCATCGACCAATTGTTGCAAAATTCCTTCATCAGGAGGACTTGTATATGGTGCTGGAGAGGGCTAATTGGTTGAAAGGATCTTGGTTTAATATTCAACGGCAATATTAATTGAAGAGCGTCGATGTCAGGTTATTTCAATTACGAGGCAGTTTTGGTTGGAAGGTGCTTCCGCCAAATTAATTAGACAAACTAAGGGAACTGAAGGGAACTATGTACTATGAATGGGACCAAGCAGGTATGTTAAGTTACAACCAAATATCCTACTTACCTATATGATATGACGTCATAGTAAGCTATATGACGTGAATTTTAGAGATAACAATTTCTTAAAATCGATACCTAAGATTGATTTGAGGTGGTAAAAATGAATCAAAATATGCAGAGGCATAATATAAACCGATTTTTGTCGTTTATGGGTCTATGACCACAGGGGTTAAATACCAAACCCGTGACGTCACAACTGTTGATCATTTAGTAGCAGAGTGAAAGTGACAAGTAACAAGAATTCATGTGAACAAACACAAGAAATCGGAGTTTAAAAGCATTTAGAGTGAATATCATGTGTGATTCAAGTGAGAATAAAGCTTATGAATAACTTGTATGCTAGTATATTTCTACAATTTCTTCGTAAAATAAAAGCAGACAGGGTGTTTACTTGCTGATCAGCCTTTCCTCTGTTGTTCGTAACAAAAAAGATGCAAAAGTTCAACACTACGCCGCACAATTTGATACTTAGTTTTTGTTTCTTTCTAAAGTTGTTATTCTATTGATTTTGGAAAGTGCTGCTAGAATCGTATGATTTACGGGAATTGATGCAATTTTTTCGATCTTATGAACAAAATGTAAAAAATTTTGGGAAGGTTTCGTCCGAAAGAGTTGAATAATTATTTCTGTGATACATGTAGGACAGTAGGATTCTAGCAGTACTTTTCATGGTACAGAGATGTTTATACATAACTATTATTATAAATTGAAATAAATTATCCGCAGGTAGTGTTGAACTTTTCACTTTTTCATTAAGACATTTTTTTAATTATAGTCGTCACGTGGTGACGTCATGGTGAAGTGCTTCCTGTAGTATAAGTCCCATTGAAGTCTATAGAATGCATTATGATAGCAAAAAATTTTATCCATGACTTTTCCGATTTATTAGTGTTACATATTTAAAAAAGTGTTAATTCGCCGAATTCTGATCCATGTGCTGCCTTAACAAACCCGCGCAGGAGGAGGAAGAAATGGATTATGCGCGTGCGGTCCTGACTGCGGCACCAGACTTTGGTAATCACGCTAGGGCCACATATGGAGACACGGTCGCAGAATCACATAATGAGGAATCGCACAGCATTTGCTGTGACCGAGATGACAATCGCCGATTCACTAGTGACGTAGTATCCAAAATATGCAGTATCAGACAGTGGAGAGGTAACAAATTATCGTTTTGAACATGGAATGTAAAAAAAGGTGTAAAGCAAAAATTACGTGATGTTGAATTTGTAAATTACGTTAAAACATTTGATGTTATTAATTTATTAGAATGTTGGTTAAATTGTGATGACACCTTTGAGTTTGATTGTTATAAAAGTTTTATCTTTCCTAGAAGCTCTGGTAGAGGAGGGGGCATTGTAATACTGTATGTGTACATGAATTGGCGCATTAAAAATTTAGCGGAATCAAGGGGTATAGAGTTGTAAGCGTAATCATGAATTAGCGCTACACATGCCCACGCCTTGCTTTGTATTAGTAAATGATTTCTTAGCGGTATTCATAAATTAGCGCATTCCTGTCCGATGTTTATGAAACACGTCTTTTACCTCACAATTCTCTTATAGAATCCCTAGCTGCCGTTAATGAAGCGTTTTATTTTGTTTTGTTTTTATACGATAAGGATACTTTCATTATTAAATGAATGTTGTAAAATAAATTGATTCTGAAATCAGCATTGTACAAGTAACTTCTTCACTCATGAATTTTAGTCTGCATTTATCTAGATGGAACATTATCCCTCCAATATAGTTCGGGATTGGATTTAATATTTATCTCAATCTGACATAATCCGTACTATTTGTAAAACCAGGAAAACTCTGTACATGCGAGAGTTCATTTAAAATTATGTAATGAAGCATTTTGTAGTATGCGGAAGAAGGAAAAATATACAAGTTTGAGAAATATAATTAAACATATTTGATTTATAAAATCAAAGCTGAAGAATAACTTCATTTTTCCCAGTTAAATGTTATAACTCAGCAATGATTTTTGAAAATGTATTACACTTTTGGATATTTATATTCTGTTTTGTACACATTAGGTTGAGCTATGGGTAAAATTTATTATATTATTGTTATAGTTTTATATTCTCCAATTGAAAAATTCACGAATTTTAAACACTCTAGTTTTCTAAGTAAGTATGAAAATCTTATAACCGTGTTATTGAAAATTATTATAATTTGATGATTTTCATTTCAGAGAAGACGGTGTGAAGTGTCGTTATGGTCATCAGTGGAATCAAATACTTGGAAAATGTATCCGTAGGTACATGTACATGAGTACATCTATGAAGCATTCAAAACCATTATGAAAGTATATATTTTTTCAAATGAGTAATAGCCTCAATATAACTATCAAGACATCACTTTATTTCGCATTAAGCATGCGGCAATGGATTCTTTGGAATTGGATGCAATTTAACTTGTCCAAGAGGGTGGTATGGTTTTCAATGTGGTAAAGAATGCACATGTACAAAAGAGGACTGTCACCACATTTATGGATGCAAAAGAAATCTTTCGGGTAATTTATTTCAGATGAGGCTCTGATCTAATGGTCATCACTTTCTGTTCATTTAATATTTCACTTTTTATTTCTATCAAGATTAATTTACCAGACTCGTTATTCAAATTCTATAAATAAGTATTTAAAACAATACATTTAGATAAACACAATGCCAACAGAATAATAAGGTTTTCCTTGTTAACCACTTCCTTGCTCATTATTTTTTTTTTTTTTGCTAAACATAATATGCTATAATTGAATTTATATTTAAAAATAATATTTTAAGAGTTTTATTATCACGAAAGAGAGTTATCCAATTTCACCGGGCATTTAAGTTTTCATGTGCATCTGTGTAATAATCTAAGTAATCACTTTTATTTATCTGAATATCACATATTCCCTGATAGTGTACAGGTGTAAGAGTATACATGTATGTGTTAATCTATGTTTTGTTTATAAATTTTCAATAGACTGTGAAGAGGGGTTTATAGGTCCTTATTGTGAAATACCTTGTCCGTATCCAAACTATGGTGAGGATTGTCATAAGAAGTGCCATTGTGAAGTACAATACTGTAATCCAAAACATGGATGCATCGGTAATCATATATATTTATTAAAATTTAAATCAATTTCTTTAAGATATTATACGTATTTGTCTGGTTCCCTGTCTCTACTTTTGCTTCGGATCTTTGATTCATTGTCTCGGCAAGGATGAGCCATGAAACCAGACCATAAGCGTAATGAAAATATGCTATATCTTAGCATGCTTTTTCTATCAATTATGAAGAAAGCGAGCATGACTCAAGCTCAGTAGAAAAATGGAGCAAAAAAATTTACATTGTTCATTCACTCCTCTGTTTTCCATTAATATATTAAAATTCACAAGCATACAGTCATCCCTTAGGTTTTCTTTTATTGTTGTTTTCTGTGTTTTTCAATTCTATTTAATTAATCTTTTATGATGCCCTGATACTTATCATATATTTTTTGAAAATTCCAATTGTTTTATTCGTCAGCAGTTAACTTTCGCCTAGAGAAACTATATACATTTCTCTTGGGAAAAGACTATTCATTATTTTCCCCTTAGAACTCTACACAAACCTTTTGCCCTCTTAATACTATGCTAATTTAATTTCAGTAAAATCCTTGGCATCAATTGAAATTTCTAAGCGCATAGGGAAAAAAATAATATAGCGTCCCAGGGCATTAAGAAGTTAAAATTGCAGTTGTTTACAACTTATCGGCAGTAAATAACACGATACCAAATATATATCCCTACTCTTACACTCTCCCCTGATATTTCTATGTTTTCTGTTATATTCTTACATTCCATCAATTATTTCAAACATTAATATTTTTACTTTAAAATGAAAATATTTTCATACCTACATCCAACAAATCAGATAATGCCGAAACATTCCGTGTTCTATAATATATAGCAACGTGTTTATCCTGGAATTTGTTACTTTCATTCCTTAAAGTGCATTTAAGATATAATATCACTAACTCTTAGTAAGCATTAGGATAATGAGAAAAAAACACAACGCAAATTAAAATTTACATTAACTTTTGTTAAAGACATCGATGCAAAAATGCTAACAAATATTTTGTACATGTTTCATGCCTTTCATTTATGTAACGATGAAACACAAAATATGATTGTAATAATAAATTATAAAAATTCAAGTTGTTGGTAGGGAAGCAGATGAGGCTGATTTTTGTTATAGCATCTTTTTCCTTTTGTTTAGATTTGACCACAAGAGGTATTGTTACCTTTAATGAAGTCCATAACACGAATATCGTCTCCTCTTCTTTTTCTCTCAGCGGGAAAGTTAAAGGTACAATTACTGTTATTTATGACGTCTGAAATATTTTCAAAGGAAAAACTAAAACTGAGTAACATTTGAAGACATTTTGACTATTTGGTCAAGATTCAACAAATCAAAGATAAGTGTATAAAGTTACTTCAAGGAAAAGAAAAAATGTCCATGCACATAAAATGTTTGCGCAGATATACAAATCGCATTTAATAGTTTAAAAATATCAATCAAATTTATTTGCCTAATCATATTCAATTATTGCAAATACTGATTAAATCATGTCACCATTGACTCGTACAAGTACAATTCCTCATAGTATCGAAACGTGTTACATACATGAACAGAAGCCTAATTAACATAGCGTGCCGCAATATTCAAGAATCATAGTCAAACAATGCCTCTTTGTAAACATTAATATTTCTTGTAAAATTTTGTTTGTCTGCTAATAAATTACAATCATTTAATAAATAATTTCACCAACGGGGACGAGTGCATACCCCGATCTTGGAGAGATATTGTTGGCAAAAAAAAATCCAACTGGAGGGGTGATATATTTTGGCAAAAATATCTTGAGACGGAAAGGTATTTTCTACAACAGTTATGGTGCCAAAGGAAAAGAAAGGCTCAGACCCCTTTTTGGTCCTAGCTTGGGGTATCTTTTAGAATGATACAACAGTTTATTAATTGAAACCTCAGTTACGTTAAGGAAGAATCGTGGTGCACCATATAGAAAGTTTAATTGTGACGTCATGAAAAATTAATAAGTGGGGAAAAGTTAGCGTTAACACAAATTAAAGTTCATTAATAATAATTTTATCAGTTATTAATAAAATCTTGTAAAATTACAATACTTGATAACAAAACGGTCAAATGAAACATAATTATGGAAATAAAGAATAGTATTCAAGCTCAAAAGACCATAAACCAATACAAAAATGAAGCAAAGCAAACACAAACTTCCAAAAGATCAGAGGTGGGACCAGAAGGCCATGGAGGATTGAGCATCTGCTGCCGACTGGTCACACCGGTACCCACTGTGTGTTTCTTGTCATAATCGGGAAATAACGGGACAATCCGTCTTGAAGTCTTTCGTCAAATATGACGTCACCAGCCTTGATATGACGCAAGACAAGTGATCCAAAGGAATAAATTCACTGGTTTACATTACAAAAATGCTAAAATATGAAAAAATTAACTTCATTATTAATACTGAAATAAAATATTTCATTTAATATAATGTATATACATTTTATAGATTGTGAACGTATTTTGCATGAAAAGTGCAAGGACATAGACCATAGCTAGTTTGTTTGAGCTGAAATATGGTATATTATTTGCGTATATTGCGTATATTTTGAAAGGTGCTGAGAGCTGAGTTTTGTCCTTAAAACGCTATTTTTATCCGAATGTTTGCGTACAAATGTAGTGGAAACATTTCAGTACTTCCCAAACAGTGCAAATTAACTTCCAGAACTTTTCTTTAAGTATGAATGTGGTTAGGATCTTTAATGTGTATCATTAGTGAAAATAAAACCCTATTCTACTTCATTATATATATATATATATATATATATATATATATATATATATATATATATATATATATATATATATATATATATATATAAAGCACAAAGAAATTAACTTTTACATGGAGACCCACTTCTGCCCCAGCCCGGGGTTGAACTCTCGACCTTCGGAATCTGTCTCCTAGCAGTGCAGGAACAGCGCGCTAGACCGCTCGCCTATCTAGGCAAGTAAACAAAAACTTGCTTTCGATGCTGATGGAATTCTCGCGGCGCTGCCCTACACTACACGGTCATTAAGAATAGAAGTGAGATGCAGTTATTTGGACATTAGTTTTAACAGAGGATTGTTACCAATACATGTTGTAATGAAATGAATTATTATTTATAAAGCACAATTTACAACAACTCTTAAACTAACATAACTGCCCTAAGTGAAGAAATATTAAATATAGAAAGCACAAAGAAATTCACTTTTACATGGAGACCCACTTCTGCCCCAGCCCGGGGTTGAACTCTCGACCTTCGGAATCTGTCTCCCAGCAGTGCAGGAACAGCGCGCTATGTAACACAATGAGCGTAAATTATAATGTTAATTTATATATTAATTTGTACATTACATTTATCTATATTTTAATATTGTGTTATGAATTATAATTGATAATATCAGTGTGTAGTGCGACGGACAATAATATCTTAATTACGAACTTGTTTACAAACTCTGGGAGATAGAATACAATAACAGAACGTCTTCATTTGACGGACAATTAGTTTTTACGATGTGTTGTTCTCGAGCATTGACACTTCCAATCACACTTTGTGCAGAGCTGCAGCCATCTAATTAACTGAAGAATGTACAAGATGCATTATGTTAATGTAAACAGAGGACATTGCCGTATCTTATAAGGAGATGGGAGACAGAGCTTCAGTGAGGGGCGGACAATGTTAATATTAATGAAGTGACACTCTACTTAACTAATTGCTATTACCAAATATGTGAACCCTATGATGCAGCTTCTTGTACAAAAGATGCGCGCACTGAATATCAATAGCTTTTACCATCTTAGCTCCGAGACGGACTAAAAGAGCTTTTAACATCTTAGCTCCGAGACGGACCATGAGAGCCTGTACGAACTTGGCTATGAGATCTTTGTGACACAATGACTATGTGAGCTTTCACCATCTTGGCTCCGAGATCTTTATAATTGAACTTTTTGATGTACCATTGTTTGTTTGATACCTTTGCTGTGACTTTTTAATAAAACTATAAACTTACAAAAGTCTTCTTAATCCAAACACATTAGTTAATTGTGTTATATACCGGATTAATTGGTGCCCGTGACCAGGACCAGAACGGAAAGTCTCGCAACGCTGAAAAGTGAAAAGAAACTCAAGACTACTGTAAGTAACTGTTTTATTGTACCTTGATTTTAAAGTATGGACAACCAAGACATCGGAAACGGTTTCGACTTGGGGGTGCCTTTATGACCTTGTCGACTGTAATAGAAACTAAATTTGATGGTCTTGATTCTACAGTTAAAGGTTTATCAAATGCAATTGGTACAAATGGGATTTTAACTATAATAACACCGTATGAGGGGGATCCTAGCAAATTTAAAGACTGGGTAAAATCAATTGAAAAGGACTCTTTCATGAACAATCTATCAGATGAAAAAGTCAAAAGTATGGCTTATGGTTCTAGCCGTGGGGCGGTTTCAGACTTTATTCAACGAATTCTCACGAATAACCCAGGGGGGACCTGGAATGCTTTGAAAAATGAATTATCCACAAGATTTGCTAAAGCAACAGATTCTCAGCATGCGTTCATGTTATTACGAAAAGTTCATCAAAAACCCGAAGAAAATGTTCAGATTTTCGCTGAAAGATTATTGTCATTGGCCGAAGAAGCATATAAAGGTCTCGAAGGAGGACTTTCAGTTGAACGTCAATTGATTGGAATTTTTGTTGATGGTTTATTACTAGACAAATTGAAATTCAAGGTCATGCGTGAAAATCCTGCAACTTTGCAAGCAGCTATAAACTGTGCTATGACTGAACAAAACCTGTATAAGCGATTCGAACTCAGGTCGGGTAAGGAAACCCATATACCCATGGAAGTCGTCCATTATAGATCTAAAACAATACCAAAGAGAAAGAGTATTTATTATGTGAATCGAGCGACAAACAGTCAGAGTGTTGAATGTTGGAATTGTGGAAAGAAAGGACACATTAAACGAAATTGTACAAAAAAAGCAACAAACAAACAAACTATAGATCAGTTTAACGAGTAAACTCCTTTCAAAATAGGGCTACTGTAAGGAGTAAACATTTGCATGGATCAAAGTATATATAAAAAAAAATAAAAACATTCAAACGTATTTAGGTCCAGTCTCGTAAAAAAATAGAATTAAATGATCTAAACTGACAGATCATGAAAAAAAAGTGGAACCATTAAAAGGTGCTCTTAAATCATTACTCTTGCTCTTTTAACATTTTCATTTCATGATTTAAAAGAGTGTATGTTCAGATCAATATTGAGTGGATAATACTAGTGCTACAGTAAGTAGCGTGTCTGGGTATGACATATCGGAATGAGTTTTCTGAACTAGTATTATAAAGAACCCTTTATAAATAGGTTTGATGCTAGAAAGCATGAATGTTGTTAAATATGAAGAAAGGTCTAGGATTACGCTAAGTAATGTGTCTGAGTATGACATTTTAGATGAGGAAATCTAACCTAGAACCTAAAATTGAGACTTGATAAAATGATTACATGGTTTCTTTCTATGAACCTCTCTGTGACTTATCTAATCATTTCTGGTACAAAAGCGCAATACATTTTTAGATGACCTTTCCGATTCCACATTTCCCAGATTCTGAGAATAAAGTATTCCCGTAACTAAAAATGGTTGACTGACAAGGGTATATACATTCTCCTGGGGATAACAAGTTCCATTATTATGGGGGTAAATGTGTTCTATATTTAAATATGGGTATAAAAGGTCAAGGTCAAAAGAGTATTGGTTGTCCAGAAATAAAAGATCTAGGTATAATATCTCAGCCAATTATTCAGAGTCGAGGGTGACCAAATATCTAGAAGGCAGAGAGACTGACCATAACAAAGCTCTATTTGCACCTGTAAAGAGCGCGAATGTTGAAAATATCCCGAAAACAGTTTTGCAGACCACAATATCACTATACTCACAATGCTTCTTAAAAAGCAGAGACGAAATATTCTGATGCTGATGATTAACAGCGACGAAGATCAACACCATGTATTCGAGTCTCGGACTGACTTATTACAATTAAGCAGAAAGCTTTAATTAACTCTGTTGCAGATTACAACATTGTGTTTTTACGTTTGCTGTGATGCATGAACTTTTATTATCACTATACGATCACAAACATTATGACAATGTGTCATGTCTGGGATATCACCTAGTTTGAGGGACATTCATCATTATCCATAAGATGTCTATCATTGTAACCGCCTGAGTGATGTATCCAAATCTGAGGGCCATTCAACGTAACCTATGAGACGTCATCGATCTACCGGAATTTTGGCAAGAGGATGTCGCTATTTCCAAGGGACATTCGTCGCTATATATTTGTGGATGTCACTATTTCCAAGGGACATTCGTTATTATATATTACAAATTCAGTGGAATTCGGGACACTCATCTTTATTAAATCCTTACGGAGACATCAGTATGTTGTGTGTTGTGTGTTATGGACATTTTAAAGTGATTAATTTATGGACATTTTAACTCATTGTGTTAGTGCGTTTTATTTTATGAAACATTGGACAATGTTTCCTCCGCCTTTGGGAGGAATGTAACACAATGAGCGTAAATTATAATGTTAATTTATATATTAATTTGTACATTACATTTATCTATATTTTAATATTGTGTTATGAATTATAATTGATAATATCAGTGTGTAGTGCGACGGACAATAATATCTTAATTACGAACTTGTTTACAAACTCTGGGAGATAGAATACAATAACAGAACGTCTTCATTTGACGGACAATTAGTTTTTACGATGTGTTGTTCTCGAGCATTGACACTTCCAATCACACTTTGTGCAGAGCTGCAGCCATCTAATTAACTGAAGAATGTACAAGATGCATTATGTTAATGTAAACAGAGGACATTGCCGTATCTTATAAGGAGATGGGAGACAGAGCTTCAGTGAGGGGCGGACAATGTTAATATTAATGAAGTGACACTCTACTTAACTAATTGCTATTACCAAATATGTGAACCCTATGATGCAGCTTCTTGTACAAAAGATGCGCGCACTGAGTATCAATAGCTTTTACCATCTTAGCTCCGAGACGGACTAAAAGAGCTTTTAACATCTTAGCTCCGAGACGGACCATGAGAGCCTGTACGAACTTGGCTATGAGATCTTTGTGACACAATGACTATGTGAGCTTTCACCATCTTGGCTCCGAGATCTTTATAATTGAACTTTTTGATGTACCATTGTTTGTTTGATACCTTTGCTGTGACTTTTTAATAAAACTATAAACTTACAAAAGTCTTCTTAATCCAAACACATTAGTTAATTGTGTTATAGCTAGACCGCTCGCCTATCTAGGCAAGGTATTGGTAACAATCCTCTGTCAAAACCAATGCCCAAATAACTGTATCCCACTTCTATTCTCAATGACCGTGTAGTGAAGGGCAGCGCCGCGAGAATTCCATCGGCATCGAAAGCAAGTTTTTTTTAACTTGCCTAGATAGCCGAGCGGTCTAGCGCGCTGTTCTTGCACTGCTAGGAGACAGATTCCAAAGGTCGAGAGTTCAACCCCGAGCTGGGGCAGAAGTGGGTCTCCATGTAAAAGTGAATTTCTTTGTGCTTTCTATATTAATATTTCTTCACTTAGGGCAGTTATGTTAGTTTCAGAGTTGTTGTAAATTGTGCTTTGGTTTCAATGCAGTTGCACATTCATGTCTTCAAAATACAAAACGATTGTAGTAATTAAAAAAAGCAACGAGATTTTTTTTAAATCACCATATTTGGTTATTTAATTATTTAAAATTCAATTTTAGTTGTGACGTGTCTTCTTATGGATAAAAAAATTAATCCAGATCGTACAACCTAATGCTTTTTTTGTCTACGTAAAAATTAGACCTACGTTAGTGACGTATGTCAAAAACGTATCAATCCAATTGAAGTTACATTTAAAATTTGCTCAATTTAAAATATAATTTGACTTAAAATCATTTTATTACAAAACGAAAAATTGAATTATAAGGAATGATTTAATAGCTACCTAAATTATATTTGTAGAACCTGGACTAGAGCAGTTTACGTTCTTTTTTAATCGCATCGCGGATTTTTCTGGCTCATATACATGGCTTGCTGCGGCCGTTGCAAACAACCATTGTTTACAAGGTGAATTGAGTGTTTATATGTTGTTGCAATCCCGCTGCACGCGCAATGGCCATCCGGTGATTAAGGTCTCAAATTTGGTGAATATGTAGTGTTGCGAACTTTTTGCTCTTGTATGAATTATATAGGGACTAATAAGACGACGATATAATTATTCGTATTAATATTTCTTTTTTTATTTCCTAAACAGGAATCGTTACAATTATTGACAATGGCAGCAGCAGATGTGTTCCAAACGAAAAGTCATTTAGGAAGTATATGGTGTATGGTATAATATCCCTGCTGACAACTTCTGCTCTCCTCTTTTTGGTTTACTTATATACACATTGTTCTTATTCAAAACGTAGGAAAAGTTGTCAATAAAAATTAATTTTACCTTCTTCAGACTAGTCTAGCTCTTTTATATTATGTAATGTAAATATACAAAACAATATTGTAGCACTCATACGAAGAGAATGAGAGCTAAAATAACAAACAGTGTCCAAGGTTACAGAAAAAACATATATATAAACAAGCAAATTTAAAGAATTGTGGTCCCCCGCTCTCGGTGTCTTTGTGGGTGATCATGAAATGTCATTTTTTATGACATATTATGTCAGATTTGAACGCCCTATCAAATGTCATTAAAAATTACCGCTGAAATTGATTTTTTTCTTAAATGAGGTCAATCGTGAAAGTCAAGGTCAAGGGATCAGAAATCATAGCATCCTCGGAAACATTTTGTCACAAGTAATGCACATGTCAAATATGAAAGCCCTATCTCTTCTCGATATAAGTAACAAGATGTGTTTGTGAAACACTGATGACCCGTATGGTAACAAAGCAAAGAT